GCCTCCGGCCCTTCAATTTTGGCTTTGGGAAGCGACACGTCAGCTTCGACCTTGGGTAGGCTGACTCCCACGTGTGGGGTCTTGACTTTGGGGACTTTGACGCTTGGCATCTTTACATCAGGCATTTTGAATTTACCCTTCTCTCCAACCTCTAGTTCCACGCTCGGTGCCTGGATTTCTGCTTCTGGCAGCTTTACGTCGGCTGCCACGTCCACGGAGGGCAACGTTGCTCCGACTTTGAGTTCGGGCTTGGGCAATTCCGCATCCGGTAAGGTGATTTCTGCTCCTGCACTTGCCTTCCCTTTAGGGAGAGATACTCCAAACTTGGGCATGTGGAACTTTGGCATTTTGAACCTGCTGTCCACTCCTTCCAGCTTCACGTCAGGGCCTTCCACGGAAATGTCAACCGAGGGTGCCTCCATTTCTAGTCCTGGAGCTTTAAGTTCTCCAGCTGGAAGCTTAACGTCAGGGCCGGAGAGGGTGACGTCAGCAGCAAGGTCCCCTGCTTTCAGCTCTGGTTTGGGAATGGTGACCTCAGCGGTGGGAAGCGTGGCCTCCACTTCAGGCAGGGAGACATCCACGTCAACTTTGGGTGCTTTGATATCTGTTTTGGAGAAGCCCATGCTGGGCATCTTGAACTTTGGCATGTGCATTCTCATTCCGCCGCCCTCGATGCTGCCTTCGGCCTCAGGAACCTTAATGGAGACCTCTGCCTCCGGCCCTTCAGGTCTGGCTTTGGGAAGGGACACGTCCACTTCCACCTTGAAATCATTTTCTCTTTCTTTTTTTCCACTTTCATCTCTTTGAATAGGAACTGTTTTTTCTTTCAGTCCCTTTTGTTTTTTCTTCCGTATCTTTGGGTGTGGGTGGGGCGTTTCCTTTGTCTCTAACTCAGTTATGTCAGCCGTTTTTATTGTAAGTGTTTGTATTTCTGATTTTTTAAATTTATCTTCTTGTTTTGTTGTAATTTCATATGATTTTGATTTCTTTTCCCTGGGTTTTTTAATTGTCAGTTCTACTTCTGGGTATTTTCTTGAATGATATTGGTGTTCAGAGATTTTTTCCTTTGTATATCTTTTTTGCTCTTGTTTTTCTTCATTCCCCACTTCTTTGTACCATGACGTTGACGATCCTGTTGTGATTAGTTCTGGCATTTCTCCAGTTATATCAGTTTCATACTCAGTAAGAGGTTTTACCTCATATCTTGTCCTCTCGTCTGTGTCTTGCTTACTTCTATACATCTTGAATCCAATACTAGGAAATTTCAATTTCTTTTGACTTCCCTTTTTAACATTGGCATTGATTTCTTCTGATTGAAATTGGGATTCTGTGTCTGTGTTTGTTGGCGAGATATCTGGAATTCCATGCTCATAGGCATCTGATGTACTACGGGATCTTCTGTGTCCCAAAATCTTTTTACCCTTCATTGACTGAAACTTTGGCCAAGATAGTCTGTCCTTTTTGGGTCGTTTTGATCTTCCTACTCTTTGTTTTACAATTAAATTTGCCTGATCTTCCTCCGAGATCTTCTCTGATATATCCAAACTTTCCTTCCCCTGAGAAAGAGATTTTCAAAACAAATTAAATGGTAAATGTACAATTTATTTATTCCATATATTTTTCCCCACTAATGTAGTCATGCCTGTTATGAACTGAATGAAGCAGATGTGGAAAAAAGTTTATAATGCCTAGAAATAGTAGGTATCAAAGACAAATATTTCATAAAATTGCTTTTGTAAGGGAATGGCAATAATGAGGGAATGGAAGTAGTTGAATCATAGATGGGCAGAAACTGCCAAATTCGTTCATTTTTCAATTTATTTAAAAATATATATCCCAGCCCCACTTTCTCCAGTGGGTGCCCACTCAGAGGCAGCATCCTGATTTCCCTACCCCGCCTCTTCTTGGTGCTGCCTCTGAGTAAGTGTCCACCAGAGGAAGCAGGGCTTGGAAGCCCCCCAAACATATGTTTGGCTGAAAAACAAAGCAGCACCATCTGCTAGTACAGCAGCTTGTGCCCATCTTTTGGATCAAATTTATGAGGCTAAACACCTCACAAGAAGACATTGCAATATATACACAGAAAGATACACGCAATTGATACAAGCATATATGAGTTACTAATAAAGATAAATGTTTAAGAATAATGTTTCTGCCTTCTTCAGTTTCTCCAGTTCTTCTTGTTTAGAAATTTAGAAGAGCGCTAAACTGAATACATGGAACAGGAAGAGAGTTCTGAACTAATGTTCTACTTGTGGCTGTCTATATGAGGACAGAGATTATCTGAAAAGTAAAGCCTCTTTCTCTCCATCTGATGAAGGGCCCTGACAAAATCAGAATTTCTGACCAAAATACATGGAGTGAAATTATGCATTAAAGGGGAGGGGGAAGCAAAGCATGATGCTTATATAGCACCCCAAAGCATTCTCTGGGTGGTTTACAAGTTAATCATTCAGGCTCCATATTGCCACCCCTCCCCCGTGAGCTGGTACTCATTTTACCAAGCTTGGAAGGCTGGAAGGCTGAGTGAACCTTAAGCTGATCACCTGAGATTGAATCACAGGTTTTGAGCAGAGTTTGGCTACAATACAGCAGTTCAATCACTGTACCTTGAGGCTCAAGCATTCTATGGGTGGTTTACAAGTTAATCATTCAGGCTCCATATTGCCACCCCTCCCCCGTGAGCTGGTACTCATTTTACCAAGCTTGGAAGGCTGGAAGGCTGAGTGAACCTTAAGCTGATCACCTGAGATTGAATCACAGGTTTTGAGCAGAGTTTGGCTACAATACAGCAGTTCAATCACTGTACCTTGAGGCTCTTCATTGCCCCTCATTAACCTGTTTCCTCTCCTACAATGAAACTTTCTCAAGGGTAGATACATTGGCAAATTAAATCTGTGTTTGTCTTTCAGCCACCAAACAATGTTAAATAAAGATACATAAATAAAATCATATTCTACAGAAAAAGAATTCTTTCATCACTTGGGGGGATCGCTCTCTGTCACAAACGATGACCGTTTTATCTAGTTTGATCACTGTGGTGTTAAAATGATACCAATAATACTCAACTTTCCCCATGATAAAGTAATATCCCACTTTACACTCAGGATACATTCACAGAAAATGGATCACTAACTGAATAGCGCTAAACAGGGTCATTATGTGTTATTCAACAAAGCACATTCTTTCCATTTGCTGGCTCGGGTCATTTGAACCTGTGCTTCATTTGTAGCAGCGATAAAGCACATTCTTCCCATTTGAACCTGTGCTTCATTTGTAGCAGCCTCTGGGAGGCATGGGTAAGGAAGGGAATGGGTAGGGAATGGGTAAAGGAAATAGAGCAAAGGCTACATAGTGGCGCCGGTCTGAGAACAAGAACAGAAGCAGGGCCTGATTCTCTCCACTGATCATTGTACAAGCAGTTCTATCATGTGCTGATTGCAATGGAGCAGAGGACGCCATGTGGTAATAGGATGTTGACTTATGGAGAGGGTCAGTGTCAGTTTCTGTTCTTGTTACTTGGAGCTGAGTTGTCTCCTTTCTCTGTCCACCTAGATGATGGCTTCCTTACACTAGATCTTACCAGTACATGGAGGAAGGGAGATGTGGCCTGCTGATTCCATCCAACACTAATCCAGTTGAAACTATGAAGCATCACAAAATGGCTGCTTGAGCATGCGTGCCATGGCAAATTAGCGTTGAGTGGAGCAGCAATATGTGGAGCAATATCGTATATGACTTGATTCAAAATATAGTTCCACTATACAGTACCTGGCTCAATTTTTCCTTTTTTGACTGTGTTGCAGAATGTATCGTTTCCAGCTCTTCCTTCCCAGCAAGTTTTCTTTTAAGACTGAACTGTACTTTGTACGGTTCAGAGTACTGCAGAATCTTGAGTGCATCTTCATATTTGATATTATCAAAAAAGACTGTGGCACTCAGAAGCTGATCACCTGGAAAGAGGGAGTATTTATATATTTGTAAATCGAGGTTACAAACATATCAGGCCTCGTCTATCAGTCATGTACCTATGGTTATAAAATATTTACATACTGCCCATCTAGCAAATGATGCAGTGTATAAATATAAACCTAGGACAATCAAATTACGGGCAAATTAAAAATGACAAATATTGCAATAAAAACAGGGGAAATTGCCAATTCTTTATCAGCCCTAGCAACAAGACCCTAAAGAGTATCAATAGCAGTGGAACCAAAAAATGCCTACAAGAGGCTTCAGTGTAACCTTCAGGTGAGTAGTTTCAACAGATTCAGGGGCCAATGTAAACAACACAACACATCATATGTGCTTTAAAACAGAGGCAACAGTTTTTTTGACAGGTTGTTTTGGCTTTAAAACAATGGATGCACGCGCTTCCTGCATTCCTTGCTTTAAAGTAAAGGTGAGCAAAGTGTCTCCTGGGAGATGCATGCATCCCCCATGACTCCAAATGACTCTAGTCCTCTCACCTATTAAAAAACAACCTCTTCCCCAAGAGGTCCCCAACACCTTCTAGGAGGCATAGAAGGCAATTTCCCCATGTTTGGGGCTTCCCCACTTTTGTTTCAGGAAAAAAAAGACAGAAAGAAATGGCTTAAGAGTGTATGTTGAAGAAGTGGCTTAAGATGGGGCTCTTTCCATCAGAAAAAAAAATGACTGCAAAAGAATATATTTTGTGTTATGGATGTGAGTGAGTGCAGCCCTCCAAGGTCCAGGATTAAATGTATGTGGCCCACAACTGGTTACTCTCCTTTAAAGTGAAATTGTGGGCATGGGTGGGTTGTGACCGGCAGATGTGGCAAAAACAGATGGGTGTGCATGTGGCCCATTAGCCAGGTGTGTCCACACCTGTCTTAAGTTAAAGGAAATCCAGGAGAGACTGAATATCTCTTGGAAACATTGCCAGATCTTTTTGTTTGTTTGTTTGTTGTTCTTTAACCCTCATAAATATACTCCTTGGAACTGAATGTTCAAGAAAAACTAGTCATGTGAAATGACACTTCGATTGTATAAGCATGGCTAACATGGCTATGGGGTCTCCAGCCTTGGGCAGTGGGTTGGACTAGAAGACCTCCATGGTCCCTTCCAACCTTACGACGATTCTGAGATTCTATTCTATGAATATTTTGTATACATTTCTTTTACATGATCTCAGCGCTTTTAAACTGTTATTGTTATGAGATGTCGAGTTTCTTTCAACCTTTTAATCTACAGGGGTCTCTATATAAAAATAGTTAAATAGCCGCCTTTCCCCCTGGAATAACAACTGCTAATAATTTACAGTAATTTAGTCAAATGTCTACTGCACCAGTGCTGTTTTGAACAAAGTACTCAAAGGCAAAATTATGACATACTTAACAAAAAGAACAAAAACATTTCTGCAACTTGTTAAAAATTGGGTATTATCCCTTGAAGTGTATATTATCACTTTCCTTATTAACTGTGTTAAACGCAAGGCCATGGTGTACCTTCTCGTAAGTTAAACAGCTTTGATGCTGGAGATTCCTTGAGGACATGCTTCACAAATATTCCTTCATTTCCTCCGCCAGTCACACTAAATCCACTTGCACCAGAATCCACTTCTGTTTGTAAGGTCACCTCCATAGACTCCTAGTTCTCCCAAAAAGTGTATTATTAAATATCTTTATCCATGCAACATCCAATATATTCATGAAAGAACATCAGCAAATATTAGAAGGTATGCACATTTACAACAGCACTAACAAACTCAGAGCATGGTTACACAGTGAAATAGATCCCAATCTGAACCGTTTGTGGTGTGGCCTGGTAAAATTTATTTCCCAGCTATCATTCCAGCCCAGCCTGTAGGGTTTCTACTCTTTGGGTGCCAGACTGGGGCGATTTCCTGGCAGATGGAAGGTTTGCTTCAAGAGAGCTCACTCCTATTAAAGTGACCCTTTCTGGTGCAATCACAGCATGAGTTATTTTTTTTGTCCCAACATATAACACTGGTGACAAAAAGTGCCTCAATGACAAAAGACAACAGATTTGTCAGGACATTCTTTTGTCCCAGCTGTTTTTTGTCTATAAAGCAACAACAGCAGCAATAAGCAGCCACACATGGCAAATGGCTGAAGCCAGAACATGGTACCCCGCTCTTAATGAAAATGTTGCCCCCTGCATGCATAAAGCAAAAAAATGTGTGAGTCAGTGCCCATGTCCACACATTTACATACTCATACGATCTATGCTTCCTCCATACTGCAGCTTCCCTCGTGCCCTTTTTCATATGGCTGGGAAGCTAAAGCAACTTTGCAGGCAGCATGGAAAGCTGCAGTAGATAGGAGAGGAAAGGGGAAGAAAATCTAGTGGTGGGTCTCAGGGATCTCCACAATTTTCCTGCACATGCAGCCTACACTCCCAAGACCTGTGTGAACTGGGTGTTGTACTTTCACAAATGGAAGGAAATGGGGAATGTTCTCCCACACGTAATAGCAATGCCAGTATTTGTCAGTCTGTGGTTGTATTGGTTTCCATGGCCAGAGATCAACGAGACAATGAGATAAGGCATAACGCACGCTAAAGAGCTTCAGCACCCTTCTGTCTTGAAGGGTGTGACTTTATGAGATACTAATCTCACCTGTGAGTCACTCATTCTGAGAGAAGAATCCCTCCTCTGTCTGTTCTCTATATCCTGCTGAAGCTGGAAATACAAATGTAATTTTTAGCGCTTAGCCATGATGGATTGTTGCACAGATCATGCAAAACTCAAGCAGCTGTCATCTTGTGGTCCTATGTACAGATGGGTGGCAGTATCAGTCACCAAAGCTGTGTTAAGAAGGCCAGATGAATCAGCCAAATCTCGAGCGTTTTGAAATCTGAGATAATCAGTCTCCTATTCATAATAATAATAATGAAAACCTTCTTCCCACTGCAAATGAAGACATGGCAAATAATTTAGTTGAAAGCTAAATTTTGTTCTTGTGTTCTCAAAGGCCAGCCTGTACATGCAGGTTGCAGACCTGGACTTGTAAGAAAATGTTGCATTCTATCTTCAGCATCTAATAGGAGGTCATTTATGAACAGGAGACTTCTGCGTCTTATTCAGGATTAATGGAATATATGCATAAAAGTTTCAGTTACAGGAAGGGAAAAAACGAACATCCCTTGTCCTTCTCAGTTCCTTATGCTTGCTCAGCCCTTGTCATCGCCATGTTACGCAGTGCTAGAGTCATTGAGATCTCTCCCAAAAGAGGCATCTATTTTTCTCTTTTATGTGACTTGCTGACAAAGTCACAGGATTTACTGGGAGTTGTGATTTGATGGTGGGTGGTTTAGCACTGATCTGCTTCTCTGCTTCAGTCCCATGGAAGGCCAGCTGTGGGTCCCTGGAAATCTCCTTCCACAATCCAGAGTCCTCTTTTGCTCCCAGTTTTGACTTCCCCTCTTCCCTTCCCTTCTTTCTTTTTTGCTAAAAATTTTAGGGTATTTGTGGGTTAGTGTCATATGCAATCCAAAAACAAAAAACCAGGGGGAGCATATTTCCGTTTCGGAAGGGAAGTTCTACAAAGTGACACAGACACAAACAAATCAAAGGTGTTTGGGTGGGACAAAAAGGTGTGGAAAGTCATGCAAAAAATGTGTCCTGTGGATGTCAGGAGAAATCCCATGAAGTTCCATGCTCAGTGAGGAACTTAAAAGGCACAAATTTCCTATCTGGAAGAGGTCAGTGTTGCAGACCTTATATAACTTGAGACCATTTCTGTGCACATCATTACAGAATAACTTCCCAGAGCTTGGAGCTGTTCCTTTTTTAGACTACAATTCCCATAGTCCCCAGTGACTACAGCTAGCAGCCATGCTCGTTGGGAGATTTTGAGAGTAACACTCAAAAAAGTAATCCACCCACTCCAGCACTGACTCTTCCTAGGAAAGCCCATTTGGCACCAAATGTGAAGTCACTTCTGAACCCAGCAAAAACCATTTGGCCAGTTAGTCTTATTCTAAAGCCTGACTTTAATAGTTTTGGTTGTTGCTCTTTTTATTGCTATGTCATTATTATTATTCAAGCCTAGCAATGTTTAATATTTTCCAGGATGGGATGAAACTAATCCCCAAATGTTGGATCAGCTTTTGGTGGGGATGAGATTCCCTTTAAAGTCCAAGTGGCCAAGGATTTCCCTCTTTCCTTGTTTTGTTTTTGAATTTTTTTTAAATTTACCTAACAATAGCCCGAATTTCATCTTGATATTGGAATGAATGATTGTTTCTGTTGGCCAGTTAGCATCGGCTTTGTTTTTCAATGGCCATTAAAGTTTTAATGGTCAAGTGAAGTGATAGCAATTTCATCAATGATTCTAAAGAACTGAGGAACTGCCACCAGCCAAAAAGCATTACATGAAACTCATTGGCTTGACGTCTTGCCTTTTTGTTAAAATATTCGTCTTCTATGCAATACTCATAAACTGGAGAAGATCCTTGTGGTCTTGGTCGTATGTTTTCAGTTGTTATTTCAGTGACCTGCAAGAATAAAACAACAACAACATTATTGTTTGTATTATTATTCAAAAATACCAGGCACAGTCAATCCAAATTATAAAAACATTGACTGATATTATATAACAGATATAAATTTTAACCAAAAACCTAAGTATCTGTTAAAAATTGTCACACTGTATAAGAACAAAGGAGATAGGAGCAACTGCAATAACTACAGTGGGGTCTTGACTTAAGAACGGCTCGAGTTAAGAACATTTTGACTTAAGAACCACTCTCATAGGAAAATATTGACTTGACTTACATACTTAGATTTGAGTTAAGAACTGAAAAAAAACCACGTGGGAGGCAGGGAAAGTGCAAAATTTGAACTTTCAGTTAACTGTTGGCCAGTGAAAAGGGTGCCTGTCTGCTTCCTCACT